GGCGGTGGGGCTAATATTTATAGACATTAATTCCCCGACTGAGCCAATACTGACATAGTCTTGCATAGGCTGTAGAAATCCTTTTTCTTGTCCAACTTTGATTTTTTCGTCAGGAGATCTGTGCAAATAGAGAACCCATGTGATGTGTTTTTTGTCTGTAAAAGTCTTTTTTGTGTGTTTTGGGGAGGGGGGGCGGGGGGGAGAGCGAGGCTTTCGGTCTTTAATATTTTATTTTTTATTTTTGAAATAAATTTGGGCAGTCTGGATGCAACCGTGCCTGCCGTTGCCGTCAGTGTCGGGATGGGGTGGGACGGGGCAGTGCAGGGACAGCCGGGCACCCCCGTCCTCCTGTTACTAACTTCAGTGCACGTGCACAGCCATGCACACCTTCAGCACTACACGTACATGTGTGCACACCCCCCGTGCACACGCGTGGCCACGCATACCCCCTGTACCTGTGCACACGCGTAGCCATGCACATACTCAGCTCTGCACACCCCTATGTGCGTGCACCCAGCTGTGTGCGTCCCTACACCCAGCCATGCACACGCAGCCGTGCATGTGTTCAGCACTGCACATGCATGTGCGCGCAGCCACGCACAGGTGCACATGCGTGTGCCCAGCTATGCACACGCATCTCGTACAAGTGTGCTCACTCCCGGCCCTGCAGGAGGAAGGGAAACCTGAAATCTTGGGGGGGAGGTGATGGAGCTGCCCCCTCTTCCCAGGAAGGAGGAATGGGGCTGGGGTCCCCTTGCCCTGGGGCACCTGTCTTGGCACCCGGCTGCAGGGACATGCCAGGGCTGGTGTTTCCAACCCTCGCTGGACCCCAACCCGTGGGGCTGCGCGGTGCTCGTCTGACTGGGTGAACCCGGTCCCGTCCCACCGGCTGCGCCGATGTGCTCTTCCGCTGCCCCGAGGAGCCGGGCCGGTTCCACCAGCTGGGCCAGCCGTGGGTGCCGGCACCCTCCCTCCTGCGCTGGCCTCACCGGCCTTCCTGCGTCATGGCGGGGCGGCCGCAGGCCGAGGTGGAGGGGTTGGCGGCCACGAAGCCACTGCCGCCCCGACGCCCCAGTTCAATCCCCGGGGCCCAGCACGGCCGTGCCTCAGTTTCCCCACCTGCTGCTGCAGGTTCGTTTCCCTGTGGCTTTCCCCCGCCCCGGGGAAGGTGACGGGGTGGGGATGGCCCTGGGGACGTGCGTCAGCACCATCCCACCCGTGGGCACCTGCTTCCCCTGGCCCCTTCGGCTCCTGTGGGAAGAGGCCCCTGGGGTCCCCGGGAGGAAACCATGGGGGCCGGCAGGGCTCAGGGCATCGGTGGCTGCGTGGTGCCACGGCTGGGGACACCGTGGGCTGGAGCAGTCCCCGCACTGCACTCCTGTGCCCGGCACGGGGATGCGGTGACATGGTGGGTATCGGCACTCCCAGGTCCCCGGCACACCTGGGGAGGTGGGTGAGGCATGGCCCCGGGGGAATGGGGGGGCTGGCTGAGCTGTGGGGCTGTAATTTGGGGAGGTGGCAGGAGTGTCCCCCAGTCCATGCCCCTTCGTGGCTGCCCATGACCCCAGCCCTGTCCCCTGCACCCTGTGCACGTCCCCTCTGCCACATCCCCGTCCAGCCCTGTCCCTGCACCCCAGGGACTTAGAGGAGGAAGCCGGGGAGGGGGGACGATCCGGAGCCCCATGGGGGCTCCAGCGCCCCACGGACAGGACAGGATTGCCCAGCTGGGACCAGTGGCTCTTCCCATGCAGAACACCCGG